TCGGGCATCGGGCAGCCCGACCGGGCACGGGCAGGCTTCCTCTGCCCGAAGCCCGTCCATGGGAATTTTCGGGTCGGGTCGGGCAGCCCAAATTTTTGGGCAGATTGGGTTCGATCATCGGGTAAAAATTCAGACTTTTCAGTAGTCACGGGCCCGTCCAAAATTTCAGCAGTAGATAAAAGGAAAAGGGGTTTTCTTTTTAATTTATTTTTTATCTTCTCTATAATACTTCCCCACCTCCTTCTCATTCTCTCGTAAAGTCCCAACCCTGTTTAGGGTTAAAAAAATTAGGCGGGTTTCTCTCTCTAGCTCCCATCTGGTTTCTTCTCACTAACAATGGCGAACCGTACGGACCCAGCGGCGAAGAGCATACGTGGGACGAACCCTCAGAACCTGGTGGAGAAGATCGTCCGGTCGAAGATCTACCAGAACACCTACTGGAAGGAGCAGTGCTTCGGCCTCACGGCGGAGACTCTCGTCGACAAGGCCATGGAGCTCGACCACGTCGGCGGCACCTTCGGCGGCAACCGCAAGCCCACTCCCTTCATGTGCCTCGTCATGAAGATGCTCCAGATCCAGCCCGAGAAGGAGATCGTTATCGAGTTCATCAAGAACGACGATTACAAGTTCGTAACCAAAACCCTAGCCTGCAATCTCTCTATTTTCTTCTTCTTCCTCTTCCTCTTCTTCGTGTGATTGAATTTGAAGTTTTTGTTGTGTATTTGGTTTCAGGTACGTGCGAGTTCTCGGTGCGTTTTATCTGCGTCTCACTGGCTCTGACACCGATGTTTACCAATACCTAGAGCCTCTTTATAACGATTATCGTAAAATTAGGCGAAAATTAGCCGATGGAAGTAAGATTAATTTTCCTTAATTTATTCATTTTGCAACTATATATCTATATTTTACTGTAATGTTCAATTTTTATTTCTTTTTGCTCTGATGTTTTAGATTTTTCCTTGACTCATGTGGATGAGGTTATTGATGAGCTTCTGACCAAGGATTATTCCTGTGACATTGCGTTGCCAAGGATTAAAAAAAGGTCGCTTTTTTTAACTTGAATTTGTCAGAAAAAGAAAACTCTATTTGTGTTGAAGTTTAGTTTTTAAGCTCATATATATATATATATATATATATGTGTGTGTGTGTGTGTGTGTGTGTGTATTTTATTTATTTATTTTTTTGTGGTATCAGATGGACTCTTGAGTCAATTGGTACACTGGAACCAAGAAAGAGTGCTCTTGAGGAGGACTTTGAGGAGGAGGAAGACAAAGAGGACGCTGAGCAACTTGATGATGGACTAGAAGATGATGCTCATGAAAAGGTTTACATGTTTTTCCTTTCCATTAGTTGCTAGTTGGTAATGGTTTTGAATTGGGTATGCTGATTCTTGGTTGTTTTTAAATTTGAATGTGGAAAATTGTATTTTGGGCAGGATTATTATCGTGGTCGGAGCCCTGTAAGGGACAGAGACAAGGATAGAAGACATGACAGTCACAGATATAGGTAGAAAGCCTTTCTTCAATCCTTCTTAATTATGTTCCTTTGTGCGTGTATATCTAATTAAAAGATTTTGAATATTTCTAATTGTTTATAATACTGACATCATAATCCTTTAAAATAAGTGAATTGATTTTGCCACTATTGAGGAAATTCTATGATTTTTGCTCATTTCAAATGTAACGTGAAGGTTTAGGTTATGAATTATGGAAGCTGTTTGTTAGGTTTTAATGTTTTATATATGTTCAGACTAGTTCACACTAGTATATTCAATTAATCATTGATGTCTCCACCATGGCGTTTTAAGCCATCCGTGGCTTACTATTGCTTCCTATAGTAATTTTCTATGATCCTGCCAGGTTTCTCTGTACTGACAGTGTACAGCTGAGAAGTATGATGGATCGTACAACCTTTCTTTCATTGTTATTGTGGATTTGAGGCCCAATCATCAAACATGCTCACACTCATATATTAGCATCTTTTTGTTCTCTGACATATTTTTCAATTTAGCTTTTGTTCTGGCTTCTTTTCACCGTTGAACTATTATCTGCTTGCACTTCTAGAATGGTGTTTGAAATTTCATGACAATCTCTTGATTCTCTTCCAAAATGCTATCTAAGTGATTTTGTTCCTCTTGTCGATGTGATATTTGAGATGTATTATATATTTCCGCCTTCCAGATAAGAAATATGACGTGTTAAGAAGGTTATGTGTTAAATGATGTGCAAAATATTGTGTTCTAACAACAGATTAAGAAGGTTATCTGGTAACTGAAATGTCTCTCCTGTTGGCTTCTTTGCATAGGGATCGAGATTATGATAGAGGCTATGATAGGGAACGAGGACGCGGGAGAGACAGAGACCGGGACAGGGATCGTGATAGAGAAAGGGAAAGAGGATAGAGATAGGGACAGGGACCGAGACCGTTATCGTCTTAGAGATGAAAAGGATTATGGTCGTGATAGGGATCGAGATCGGGATTGGGAAGGTAGAGATCGGGAGAGGAGAGACAGAGACCGTGGTCGTCGTCGGAGTCATTCGAGGAGCCGAAGTAGGAGTAGGGATCGCAAGGATCGGGATGGTGGGGATCATCGCAAGAGACATCGCAGTAGCATCAGTCCCAGAAGACGGGATGGAGCTGAGGACAATAGCACTAGGGAAGAGGCGAAGAAGAAGAAAGAAAAGAAGGAGAAGAAGGACGATGGGACAGACCATCCAGATCCAGAAATTGCAGAAGCGAACAGGCTCCGGGCATCTCTGGGTTTGAAGCCCCTTAAGGTTTAGCTAAAGTGCTGTTTGACTATTTTAAAGGTGTGTGGACTTATTGATAAGCATATATTCTAGAACATGCATTCCTTGGATTACACTGCTGCATTATGTTCAAATGTTGCATTTTTCTTACTATGAGCTCCGTATATGTTTAGAATCACAAATGCTTCTTCAGTGCCAGATTTACCTGACAGTTTACTCTTCGATTGATATGGCAATGCAGGAAATTTGACGGCTGTAATTTCGTTATAATGAATTTGTATATCTTTTCAGTTACAAATCTTAACTTAATTCTTATGCCGCTACAGTACCACAGATGGAATTTAAGTACTTTTACAGTTCCTCGCCATGGTCAGAGTAAACACAGAAAACCGGAGCAGATTAGTTAATTGATGTATGAAATATAGGAATGATGCAAACAAAGTATTTTCATTTTATTACAATAAAAAAATAAAAGAAAATTCTACTTTAGAAGCGAAAAGGGGGAAAATGTTCACAAAAGAATTGCATCGTAAAAGTTGCTTAATTCAAGGAAGCTCCTCAGGTATCAAAATGCCATCTTTATCATATTGAAGAGTACCAGAAATGTTCAATGGCTTGCACTTCCTCCCTATTAGGATCCTCTTCTTGCATAGCTCCAAACTCTCTCCTCCTTTTGTAGCTTTAATGCGTTTGAGCTCTGAACCCTCCTTACCAAACGCCTTCCTCAGGGGCCCTATCCTTTTCCATCTCCACCTCCTCTGGGGCAGCAGGACTTTGGATGAAACCTTGATCAACATTCTCGAACTTTCCCGCTTCCCAATCACTGTCATGCCAGTAGAAAAATTACCATCTGCAATGCAAACGCGTTCGCCACAATGACCAAAAGCGTTGGTGTTACGCTCGGTTTTGTTGCTTTTGTCTTGGATGAAGCCGAAAACCTTTGTTCTCATCTCACTTTCCGAATCACCTAAGCCATGACCACGAACTGGTGACTTCTTGTTGCCGAAGGCATTGGTGAAGATGGAAAGCACTTTTCTCCGAAAAAGTTGCTTTTTGGGGTTGGTCCTTTTGTAGCCATGAAGTTGTTTTTGCATGATCTTGGCAAGTAACTTGGGAATTTTGATGCTTATTTTGCGCTGAGAGATTGTGATGGTAATGAAGTATGAGTTTTGAGAGTCTTTTGGTGGAGTTCTTGGGTCTCTTAACGGGACCACAGGCGTACGAGTGAGAGATGTTCTTCCTCTCATTTTTCAGTCAGCTACGTAGTAGTGCTTTTTGTTGTTTTGGCCTTGAAAATAATTATGTAGAGGAAAGAGTTTGATGAATCTTGAAATGCTGGGTTATATAGAGGGAAAAAAAAGGAATAGTGGGTTGAGTTTCTTTAAAAGTAAAATAAAACTAAAAATAAAAAATAGTGGGTTGAAACGTGGGTGTAAAGTGGAGAAAGAGGGTTTTTTTGGGGTGAGGCTAGTTTTTCGCATATCCTTCAATATCCCACGTTCATAGTACAAAGTTAATAAAATTTGCAACTGCACTTCGGGTCTTCCACGAGTCAAAGACAGTTTGAGTTCTTTTGGTCCAAGCAATTACTCGGTCATGTTTTCTCTTCAGCTTTTTCTGCAAGAGTTGAAGAATATTATGGTGTATTCTAAAAAAATATTATTACTATTATTATGGAAAAAATCGATTAAACCTATATTGTGGCCATACCATGACATTATCCAACAAAATGACGATTAAATAAAAATTAAAAAGCTTCCCTCACATGACCATAAACGGGTGGAATGAATAATAATTATTGTTACTTTGACAAAATTACTCATCTTCTCATGTCACGACCCTAACTAAATAATCATCTCTTAAACACACTAACATGTAATCGCTTAAAATACTTGAATTAATTAAACTAAATTTGTGAATATTTTTTTATTTATATATCATATAATAAAGGAAAATAAACTTAACTTTAATATTAAATTAATAGATAGTAATTTTTAAATTGTATAAGAAGTCTCGGTCTTCTTAAAACCATATTGCATGCATTCAATTTAAAAGTCTTATCATAAGAAAACATATTGCAGAATTAAAATGCGAGCGGTATTCATTTCCCATTCTCAATGCGGTCCCAAACACATCGTCGTAATCAAGCCTGTTGCATAGCTCTTCATGCATCTCAGTTTCATCTGTTTTAACTCCGTAAACCACTCCTTGGTTTAGGTTAGTGGCTCTAATCCCCCAAGCCTTGCAAGTGAAGGTTATCGGGTTGTTTGGTTGTTAGATTCATGCCATGATTCGAATCATGGTTCGTGGTTCGCTACAGTATTTTTTCTTACAAAAAACACACGTAAATCGAGAATAATTCTAAATTATGATTCTGAATCCATGAACCAAACGTCATGTATATTATTCGAATCATGAACCTTACTCAGATGATAGAATGAGCTTGCTTGCTTTGGATATGGCAAAGTATCTGTTCTTCCATTATGAGTAATGGTAATGTAACCCTCTTCAATGTCAATATTTGGAGTCTCGTATTCTTACAATATAAATACATCCTAAGGGTGAGTTTATACTCAGTAAATAAGAACTAAGTCCTACTAATTAAAATAGAGATGCATGTACCAATTTGCTCTTTTATGAACCTGTCTTATTATTCCTCTGGGCCCTAGTGTACGTACTGAGATGTGCACACGATCAGCGGGTAGAGAAAGTTTGTAAGGTCTCCAACAACACCGTGACCCTAATTTACCTTTTCAGGTATTGAATGATTGTCTCCTCAGGCCTCAAATCCTCTCCGTATGTCGAAAGGTTAGTACGACACTCTTAAATGTTCTTATTAATCATACAGATCTTAATAGTGAGCATACGATATAGTATGCTATGCCATGTTACCTGCTATCAGCCAAGGTCGGGACTATATTACTCACCGAGGTTAACCTTTACTGCTATGTTTTGTAAAGAAAACCTATTGAGGGTGTGAGTTTAACTTATTTATTATAAGCTAACATATTAGCTTAGTCTATTTATGAATTTATTTCTATACTGAGAAAATATTTTCTTTTTAAATAAGGTTCATTTAACTTCTTACATATCACAAGGATTATTTTAATAAATCCTTATCGTATAATTTTCCTTAATTGCCTTTGCTAATCGGTCCTAGGTTGATAACTTAATCTTTTAATTAGTTATCTAACCATGGTCTATGTCTAAGTTACCAATTCATATTATTTCTTAGATTGAGCTCAAAATTGAATTAAGCCCCATTAGTCTACAACATGCTTACAACATTCATTTACACTAGCGTGTCGAAAAGTTACGGGCCTAGTATGGGTGTTGGGCCCATACCTAGTGCTTTTTATAGAAATTCTCAACTCGATTCTATTTTGAAAATCGTTAGTAAATCATATTTTACCACTAGTAATATTGTCGGTTACTAGAAATTAGTGCTGGGAAGCACTTAGTGATTATTTTTAGAAGATAACCATAAGTTTGTAAACCTTTTAAAATTTCCTATTTAGCCTTGTTTATTAAATTTTGTCTTAAACTTTCAATTCCTGTAAAACTTGGATTCAAACATTTCGGAAAACGTTATTCACTAGAAATCTGAACCGTTTCAAATCTGACATGTGAACTTTTTTGTTTTTCCTTAATTTGTAATTAACTACATCTTAGAGTTATATTCTTAAAATATGAGCTTTGTGAAGTTTCTTCGTCTTGTCGTGATCTAAAAGTTTTATATTTCACGAAAAACAAGATTCGGCCTCGGAACAGGCCGAAATCTTAAAAATAGTGGTTGCACAAATATTATTTTACACAGTTTTTGAAAACGGCCCGAAAACGCATCCTAGAGTTAGAATATTGATTTTTTACAGTCACATGGATTTGTCCGTAACGTTGAAACCTTTAAGACTCTTGTGTTAGAAATCCTGAAATTGACCTCTAAAGGGTCCAAAAATAGTAAAACAGAAACTAACTCAAATTGATAGTTTTGGACAGTTTTTATGAAATTTTGGATAGTTTTAGAAAAACGTCTAAAAACACATTTTAGACACGGAATTGAGATTTTTCTCTGTCACGAAGAAATATTCAGTACGTCGAGATCTACAACTTTCGTGAACATATTGTTTCTCAATTTGGTTTCTAACAACTCTAGATTTTAAATCAAAGTGGACTTAAATTTTTAAACCATTACAAAAAGTTGTCAACTTATTATTATTATTATTATTATTATTATTATTATTATTATTATTATTGCATATTTAACCTCTTAAAATTAACATGCAAAACTTAGATTTTGTTCTAAACACACAAAACAAAAATCTTAGACCATAAAATACAAATTCAAAAACATAGATTTAACATTAAAACTCCTTACATGTGAAGATCTAACCTTTTAACACACAGAAATAATAGAAATACAAACTTTGTAATTAAACCAAACTTTGTTCTTAAAGTTGAAATGATCAAGATAAGTTTTAAAGAATCTTACCACAAACCTTTGGAGAGGAATGATTTTGACCACCGAAGTAAGAAATTCTTACAAAGATTTAAACTTTTAAGAAAAAATTAGAACTTTGAACAAAGAAAATCAAAGGAGAAAAGTTTTGCTCTTTACCCTTAAAAGTGTTAAGAATTCCTACACAAATTCCTTCTCCTGCTTCTAGATTGTGGTTTGAAGTCTTCCTTGTGTGAGAGAAGTGAAAAAATTTTGAGAGAGAGAACTTGAGGGGTTCGGCCAAACAAGAGGAAAATAGAGAGAAAGTGAAAAAAAATAAGGAAATAGTAGAAGTGAACTTAATTCTAAGTTGTGGTATATATAGACAAATGGCTAACTTATCACTAATTAAGACCTTCTTAATCAAGCTCCATGGATTAGAATTTGGCTGGTCATACTTAGTATGGCTGGTCATACTTAGTGAGAAGAGAGAGAAAATTTACACTTAATGATGACTTAAAACCTTTGTCATATCAAAGTTAAAATTTTGTCTCCATTTTGTCTCCTAAAGATTCATTCTTAAACTGATTAAACTTGTACTGACAGTAATTTCTAGATCAGTTAACAGGATAAATAATTTTCAATGGTTTTCAATCCACTGTTTAAATCACAGTCCAACACTATATTCGGAAGAAATTAATATCGGTTTAGATTTAAAATCGCGTAGATTATTCAAGTTGTTTTCGAACTTTAAAATTTGTCTTAAAATAACGTAAAATCTGACTTTAACATATGTGTCTTAAACTCTCATAATAACCGACAGTGTTGATTTCTGAGCCCGGCTTTACAATTTTATCGAAAACACGACTCGCGTAACAACGATTTT